ACTTCTCCATCAATCCAAATATGCCCGTGATCTTCTACGCCGAGCTGGGTTGTCCGACTGTCATCCGGCTATTACTCCTATGGCTACGAGACCTATCACTAAGCCTTCGTTGCCTTTCAAGGATATTTCTCATTTTCGGAGCATTGTTGGTGGTTTACATTACTTGCCTGTCACTCGTCCAGACATTCAGTATGCTGTTAATCGAGTGTCTCAGACTATGCACAACCCCACTAAACAGGACTATCATGCCTTGCAACGCGTTCTGCGCTATCTCAAAGGCACTTTGAATCATGGTCTTCTTTTTCGCAAGGGGGGATTCGACCTATCTGTGTACTCTGACTCTGACTGGGCCAATGATAAAGATGATCGCAAGTCTACCACGGGCTACATACTCCTACTCGGTCTTAATATCATCTCTTGGTGCACGAAAAAGCAGACTCGTGTTTCTAGATCATCCACTGAAGCTGAATATCGAGCTATGGCTGCAAGGGTTGCAGAAGCTATGTGGCTTCGATATATCACTGATGCACTGGGTATTCCTCCGTCCAAACCGAAGTTATACTGTGACAATGAGTCGACTATCTGTGTCACAAAAAATCCGGTTCTTCATGATCGCATGAAGCATGTGGGCACAGACTGTCACTTTGTACGAGATGAGGTTATGGCAGGCACTATGACTCCACATCATGTTTCCTCCTCAGAGCAGCTAGCAGACATTCTTACCAAACCGCTTCCGCCAGTTCCTTTTGAGTACTTATGTTCCAAGCTGCCCCTCGTCTTCGTTGATCAGCTTGCGGGGGGATATTAGGAAGTATAATTAAATTAGGATACTTCTTTCCTTTCCTACTAGGATTATTCTTTCCTTTCCTACTTATACTTTGATTACTCTTGTATTCCCTATATATAGGGCCATATCTATCAATATTCAATAAGACAAGTTATTATCAAATTGTATCACATTTTCCCCGCCAAGGTTGCCGCCAAAATGTGACGGAACCAAACCCTTGCAGTGGTTAGCCAAGGTATGTGAGTATTTCCTGTTTTATGAGATCCCTTTCAATGATCGTTTAAATCGTGTGGCTTCAATGTTAGAAAGCCCAGCTGTTGATTGGTTGCATTGACGGTCGGACAACGGCTTGCTTGATGGTTGAGATGATTTTATCCAGAAGTTCAAAATACGATTTGCTCCTTTTCATGATTTGGGCTATGTGGATTATGCTCTAGTTCAGAAGACATAGACACGGGACAAAAACACGTTTATCCCAATGGCGAAAGTAGCAGACGCACCACCTCCTCTAATCGTGGAAGATGCAAATGGATTAGAGAAATTAAGCATTGAATCACATGTTGGAGATTACGAGGACAGTGGACCCGAAGCTATGAATGAAGATGATGGAGGGTTCAACATTGTGGAAAAAGATGAAGGTGCTAATGCTAAAGAGGTTGTTAATGCCTACACGCTAAATCCTACATCTAGTGAATTTTCTATTGCAATAAATGCCTCGACTTGTGTAGTCATTGCAGAGTTTGATGTTCTCAATATTATTGATAAGGTGGCAGACATAGATAATAAGCAAGCGGACAATCTCATTTCATTTGACACCATTAAATTGTTTGACATTGCTAATATGGTCGGGATGCAGCACCTAGTTTCACTGAGCGAACCTACATGTGGTATTGGCTCTATCTCACATGTCCTCCAGTTTGTTCCAAGATCCAACATGGTTGAAGGTTCAAGGGATGGGCCGCTCCTTTGGTTTGGCATTATCTCTCAAGTCCAAAAGCACGAACGGGAGCCTCCACCTTGAGGACAATTTGGATTTTAAAGGGTTGAGAATGATACGGATAGTTAATTAGAATATTTTCAATAGTTATATTATTATTATTTAGTAGTTATTTATTATTATTTATTAAAATTTTATAGATTAAGGTTTTTGTATGAGCCCGAGCCCATTAGGTCATCTAGGTGTGGCATCTCATTGCTATATATTGTAATCTTGTATCATTATCATCCAATAAATCAATAATCAGAATTCTCTTAATCTCTCGTCTCTGTTTTCTTGGAGCCCAGAAACACTCGAAGTTTTCCTTCTTTCTTTGCCTCCCTTTTCTTGGAGCCCGAAAACGCTCAAAGTTCTTAATCGTATAAGATTCGTATCACGAGACCATATTAATATTTCAGTTTCGTATGAAATTTTGCATCGAACTGATCCTGATCCCGAATTATTGGTTCAGTGCGATTCATGTTGGTGTGGTATCCATTTCGGTTTAAATTGGGATGAATGCACGCACATTTAATTTACATTTTAAAATGTATGAAAATCTTTATTATTGAAAATTTAAATATTTATCAAAATAAAGTAACGTAAAAAATCAAAAAATGAATAATCAAATACAATAATTGTTTTTGAAACTTACTTTATATTTCAAAAAACTAACAAGAATGAAGAATAATAAACTTTTACTTCAAATGCTTATTAGTATTTTTACATTTATCTACAAGAAATAAAACTAAAATAAAAGTTCAATTTACACATAATAATACTTGAACCAAATTTTCAAAATAAACTTATTGTTTAATGAAAAAACATAAATGAATTATTACATTTTAAAATATATAACTCATTATATATATATATATATATATATATATATATATAGACACACAGACATTCAGTTTGAGATTTTCGCGGTATTAGAATGTACCACGTATCATTCCCAAAAGAACGAACGGACCGTTTTCGGTATTGTTCGATTTTTTATGCGGTACTTTTTTTTATTTGGATTTTTTAGTACGGTTTTCTTGATCTTTTTGATGATTTTGAGATCGGTACTAATCTGATAAGATTATTATAACTAAAGATGTTTCTGATAATGATATACTCCGTAATATTTTATTCCAATAAATATAAGTAATAAGAATAAGAACTTGTTCTTTTCACTTGATCTGATTGGATTATGTTTTTAATCGGATTTGGATGTAGTTATATTTCAAATTGTTTATAATCTAATCTCATTCTAATAAAAATACGTAATAAGTAATTTGAATAAATTGAGAAAAGAAAATCTATGTTGTATAGAATCAGATTTTAATCATTTTAAAAGATATTCTACAAGAGGTTTTTAAGAAATCAAAGAAGAAAAAGACTAAAATAAGACTAAAACATTGAAAATATACCTAAATAAAACTTTTATATTTTTATTCTAATTAGAATAAATTTACATAACTTATTCTAATTAGAAAAAAAACAAGGCACTACCGACCGCCTGAAGATTCCGTGCGAAGTCTTGAGAAAAGGCCAGTAGAGCGAAGCTGTTCGGTTGAGTTGGATCTCCGAGTTGAGACTCGGTTTTGGATACCTTTATCTTTCCTTTCTTCCTCCTCCTCATACAGATACAGTTGCACCCTCGATCCATCTATACCTTATACTCCCGCATACATTTTGAATAACTTATATACTCCGTTCAAGTTTGAGAATTGCAAATTGTGTAACCATTCATCATCACAGCGGCGGAGTCATGGAGACGAACAGTCAATCCCCCGACTTTGATTACCTGTTCAAGTTGCTGATGATCGGAGACTCCGGCGTCGGGAAGAGCACTCTTCTCCTCAGCTTCACATCTGAAACCTTCGAGGATCTCTCCCCCACAATAGGTAATATGCACATTCTACTTTACCGCATTTCTGATTTTCGCGTGCTCTCAATTTGAGTACTTTATAACGCTTTCCCCTGCATTTGATCCCCCCCCGCTGGAATCATACTAGCGTGTTAAGGTTAGGCGGTGGGTTTGGAAATATGCCTGCCTTTTCAACTTATAGTTCACCATTGAAAGTTTCAGCTGTTTCTTTGATCATTTTAAGACCATTCCGAACCTACTATATGCTGGTGTCTATAATGGCAGGTGTGGACTTTAAGGTGAAATATGAGACTATTGAAGGGAAAAAGCTGAAGCTGGCAATCTGGGATACAGGTAACATACAGGGGATGGTTGTGATATGTGAATTCTTCTGTCAAACCTTTTATGTTTTGTTGTGATCTCATAGTGACAACAACAAACCCAATGAAGTCCCTCAAGTGGGGTCTGTGGGGCAAAGAGGATCTTTCTGAAAGATCCTTGCGCACAAGAACAAAAGAAATACTAACTTCATCCCAAAATATCCGTCTAGTTTGACTTTTTCTATTCAAATTAGACAAACTTTGATATAAAAATTGCATTGCATACTAGTAAAAATAGGATTTCATTAGATTTATCTTGCAAAAGACTGAAAAAAATTATTAAATCATTTTACTACTCCGTTTATTAATGCGCATTCCAATTCTTATTCAAGTCAAACTAGACAAGTACTCTGAGCTGAGATAGAGGGAGTCAAGTCAAACTAGACAAGTACTCTGAGCTGAGATAGAGGGAGCACATTTGACCAATCTCGTAAATGAAAAGCAAAGGTAAGACGAATATGAGGACAAAAAAGATGATATTTGAACACCAAGGAAGAGGAATACTGAAAGCACCCATCAAACTCAGCTACCCCGTGGAACCCAAATTACCTAGAGCGGGAGGAAGACCCACCATAGCTGCAGATTTCTGATCACTTCACTCTTGATCTCCCCTGGCTTGCCTCTAGCTCTCTACCTCTTTTCAAATTACCTTCTGCTAATCTCTTACAACTCCTAACAACACTCCTCTGCATATGTGGGAACTGGGATCCACCTCAACCTTGACTCACATATCCTATCCTCCATTGAGACCACTCCTACCTTATCCCGCAGATCATCGCTCATAATCTTAGGCCTCATAGTAAAACTAAATATCCACCCAAACATCTGAGCTCTACACCCCTAGCTTTTGCAGGTGGGCATTCTTAACTAGAAAACAACATTATGCCCATATAACATGGTCTGACAAATATAACACTCTGTCACATAATTACATAAATTAATTATTTATGAAGGTGGTCCACAAGTACCTTCATTTTATGCTCTCCTTTGACATGCACCTACGTGATTTACTGATTATGAGCCCAATCCCCTAAAAACATTCAGCCCACATTTTGTCACTTTCAGCCTTTGTGTGCTTCCTTTTAGATCTTAATGTTCTAATAATTAATATCTTGGTTTACTTGCATAATGTGTCATTTTGGATATCAATGACTTCTCTTTAGATCCATCATGTTTGAATACTCCGCCGTACATAAGTACGTACTAGAGCACTTGCGGTTTGCCTCTCTATGCAAAATGTGCCCAAACTATTATGAACAGTTTTTTCCAAGTTCTTCTTCAACAATCGTTGATCCTACTTTCACATGTATTTGGCCTCTCCCCATTGTGAATCATATTTTTTCTAGATTTACCACATATTCATCTTTTCACTTGCCTCATTGTCGTACATCATCTTAATATAGTAATCTGTAATATGATGCCAGTCTAACTATGTTTTTCTAGAATTTTCCTTTCATTCTTAGATGTACATTAGTACCACTCAATAGTCAATTGTCCTTTTGCTACTTTTAGCCCCAACTTTTGTGATTACATTCTTATATTAAATATCCATTGCATGTGAATATGTGATGCAATGCACTTATGCAACACAGCTTTTCGGGTGAACCCCACCACAACATCGACAATTGTCACATCTTTATGATTTTATTTTTAGGTTTCCATATGTTGTTTTGGGAATCTAAGAAGTGAGAAAATAAATTCCCCACTGTACTTGACTACTGGACCATTGGTTTAAGAGCTCTCTAGTCATCTTGATCTCTCTTATAGTTTACATGAATGTGTTGGATCCATCTTTATTGCAAAGAAGCTACACTATTAGATATGGTAAATGATGTTTTGCAACATGATTGTTGGATTGGAATGAACAAAAAAGGGATCAAAGAAAATATAAAGGAAAAAAAATCCTTTGTTATATCCTTGGGAACTCATAGAATAAAATCGATAAGATGTTAGGCCCCATTTGTTTTGGTTGTACTTAAGTAAACACAATAGTAATTACTCCACCCATTCCAAATTAAACTTCCCATTTGCTTTTTTCACATTGTTTGTGAAAGTAAAATTTTGTTGCCAAAGTTTATGCAGAGGTAAATACGCCATACAATTATTTCTTTAAAAGGATCCAAGAAGTCTATTTTGAGACAATCTAAAAAGAGAAATCTGTGAACTTTTTTTGGGGGACGGAAGGAGTACTGGAGTAGTTGAGTGAAAATTAGGTGTATAGGTGAATCCAGATGTATGTATACAAATAATGATTATTTAATAATTAGGTTAGCCTTGGTGAATTTAACAAAAGGTTGCCCAGAAACTACTTAAGTCTTAAAGATAACTCAAATGGAAAATGGGTTTCCAGAGGGTGTATTAGGTGAATCCAAGTTGTCCATAAACTATTTTGTCGCCAAAATGCTTCCCGAATGAGGTGAAGTGGTGAACCCCAAATCGAACCCAAAGAATCTAGGTTCGCCTAAACCCAATGAGGCCTTGACTTTTTCTAAACAATTGATAACAGACATGTGGTCTCTAAGTGTAATGTGTTGTATAGCTATGGAGATACCTGATGGAATCATTTGATGCGAGGATTAATTGCCATTAAGCATTGCAAAGGTATAGAGATCTCCTCTAGCACTGATGGAATAATACTACACCCTTGAAACCAAAAGGAGAGGCACTATGTACATTTGGATTTTATTCTTTGGCTAAGCTTACAAACTTAAAGGAAGGAAAAAAAGAAGAATCTTTGTATTCATTCATAACCTAACTTTTCATTTAGTCATTGGTATACACATGTTTCCACCTCACTCATGACCGGTCAGGCGGTCACAATTCATATTTTCTCATTTAGTCGTATATAGCATACTTGTGATGTTTTTTGTGTGACAAAAGGAGTATGTGGTTTCATCTGCTTCATTAGCCTTATCAACAAGCCCCCATGCCAAATGTTCGCCCCCAAATATTGGACAGTTTTCTTCATCAAATTTCTTGCATTCCTCCCATCAACCTTTCATCGCTACAATCAATATTACTCAAAGAGATGGGGTCAATTTGATCCCGTGAACTGTATCAACTGTTCTGGGCATGGTTTGGTGCCAAAATCCTCACCTAACCAGACCTTATCATAATATGATGTACTAAAAACAGCTTGTCTGACACATGTCACACATCATGACTATTCCGAGCTCCTTGCCATACCGTTTGGCTTGGCTCACATACCATTTGCCTTCCAAACACTGATGGACGATGTGACCATCCCAAGTGTTGGGTACACAGGCTACTGTTATCAGAATTTTGCTACAACACCATTTCATCCTGCGCTTGTACAACCTAATTTAAGCTTATATATGTAGGCGTGGTCCATTTCACATGCTGCTTTATGACCTTCACGACTTCACGTTGCTCAAAGTTGTATGAGGGAACAATATGATCACCATCACAAGGAGGTGACTTTTTAGTTTGATCAGCGGGGTTGGTATTGGCTGCCATTCTACCGTTAAAGTTCTGGTCAAAACTAAAACTCTACAAGTTATACCGTATTTTCCAATTTATTGGGCTGATGACATAAATATTAGAACTTCTCGTTGAATGCAAGGTTCATAACATTTTTCCGATTCTCCAAATTGAACCAGTTCCTAGGGTACTCTGTTTTCCCACACGCCTATCCTTTCTCCATTTGCAGAAGGCCGTTTTATTCTTGAACCGGGGACCATACTGGGGGCACATCTTAATATTAGTTGCTCGAGAACTTTTGGTCGGGTGGAAACATTTCCCAAACGTAGTGCCACACTGCCACTTGGGAAAGTCCTTGCATGATTTTTAACGCCAATATCTCACTTTCAAGCTTTAAGAAAAGTTTTACATTCAGAGAAAAAGCCTGCAAAGGAAAAGACTGAAACTGGAAGGGACACATAGCCTGAAGATGGACTGCTGATAGGTTGGAAGTCTATTTGTTTAAGCTAGTATGAACGTTGTAATCCCTGCTCTAAAAATGGAGCTTTGCATTAAGAATAAAGACACCAAAATTTTGCAATTAAGTAGAGGAAACTCCATAAAATTTCAAGTTCTTTTCTACCTTTCCCTACCCTTTCTCATCATAGGCAAGACATCTTCACACACACAACACCTCCATCACTCCATTAACCCAAGCCTTCTCTTGTACACATAACACTAGGTGGCCTCCTCGTGTTTGAATCACCCACTATTGCATTATGAATCAAGAGCAGAATGTTCAGTCTCTAAAGTTTGAACTCCTTTTGAAACTGAGGAAACTTGAAGATGCCTCGTAAACTGAGGAAACTTGAAGATGCCTCGTAAAGGTCCGTGTGGCAGTTGGGAACCAAGTTATCACTAAGGATTACAAGAGAGACATGGTTACACTCATGTCCATGTTTAACAAGAGAAACAACCGCAACGAATTTATCACTTGGAGCTAATTGTTTTGTAGGGGTCTCACAGCATATTCCTAATCAAGTCTCTGTTGGTATTTCTTCAAACTTTGAAGTTTCTTTAATACCCGAGTAGAACCAGGAAATGCTGTTTGTATGCCTATAAGGACTTGCTTGTTTCTGTTCTGTAAACCAAGTTTTGAAACAGGTGAAACACAGGCACGTGCTAATGCGTGGATGTCGTAGTCGTACTCATGACTAACGGTGACACACAATAGATGTGATGACCACAGGAAAGTTTGAGTTGTGTTAGCCTTCTCTTTATGATCCTCCAAGTAGCTTTGATTTTTTTTAATAGAAAAGCAGCAGAAGGATTTAATTAGAAAAGTATGATACCATTGAACAGTATGGTTACCATTCGCAGGGAAATACTGGGTCTTATTATCTTTGTTGTGATTTTCATGTAATTCATTATCATTAATTTTTCTCATATATTACACTTTAGGATCTAAGATATAACTGGAATATATAGATTAACTAAAGAGAAAAAGATTTTAAAAAGTTCAGGGATATAGCCATATAGGTCGTGTATATATGTCTGCTGTAGGGGCTAATTTGATATAGTTTTGACTTGACTAACACATACATTGTCTTAGTTAGACTGGTGCAGTGTATTGATTCAAATATCTCTCTGGAAGCCTTTATTTGTTTTAAAAATATCTAGTAAGGAGTATCATAAAGTATAAATGTGCAAAAGATATATAAATGTATTAGTCTAACTGTCTAAGAGAAAGTGACCTGCTTACAATATCGATTCATATTCATAATAAAGTTATCTTGGGTGTGCATGACCAACACAGATATTTTATCACAACTATTGCCTTGCCAACAACAGATGCAACTTTATCCACTAAAAATTTTCTGTAAAACATGGTGATCCTGTCCTGCATGCTTTTCCTTTTCCTTAGAGCAAACTTATGTCATCCACTACAGAAACAACGAGGGATGTGATGAAGTTCAATGATTATGTGATGTAGATGCTGATGCACTTGTCGGAGCATTCATCATTTTATTTTGTCAAGCAAATGTCCCTAGAAAAAGTTAACACAATTCAGATTTTCTTATCTCCATTTGCATTGACTAGCAAAACCAGATTAATAAGAAGATGCCTCTTTGAGTATTAATTAGTCACTTCCCAAACTTTTTTTAATTTGTAAAATTATATTTTTGATGATTTTAGTGAAAGTGTCCAGTATTTTATGAACATGCATTTTGCTAATTTTGGCTCACTGCCAAGGGAGCTAAAAGTAATTATTGACAATCTTTTATCTTCGGGTGAATATGAACTTGATCAAGATTCAAAATGGCAGATTAAACTTTCTTTACTTCTTACTTTGTATAAAGTCTTGGGAAGCTAGGATGCACGGGTTTGCCATTTGAGTGCCGCTTGGTGCGTCGAACCGTTGCAGGACGGATGCGGCTTAGGGGACGGCTGCTGACGATTCGGAAATGTCTCAAAGGAACTGGAGTCATCGCCAACTTATTGCACACGGAATCAGGTTGCAGGGATAGACTCTTTGACCCGCTACCCCGACCCAATTTATTGATATTTTTTTACGTGTACAGAGTACAGACTACAGACTATCAGTTGGAAGCCCAACCATGATTAGGGTTTAGGAAACTTATTTTTTATAAATTATAAACCCTCTGGAGCAATCATATCAGAGTATCAGACCTTTTCCATGGACCTGCAATTTGCAAATTGCGATTGTTGATTTATGTCCTCTGGAGCTTCTGCCTTCTGGAATTTTGGAAGTGGTCTCCTCACTCCCCTGTTCGCCTCGTTTGATGATGCATGATTTTTAGAGTTTTCATAACTCTCCCTTGATGAACCGGAGTTGGAAAATGACTGTTGACAAGCAGTGATGTTTTTAATTGATGATTCCAAAAACTAAGTTTATTTATTTGTTATATGTCCAAATATGATACTTTTGATAGTACTAGTATTTAGCAATTCACCATTTTGTCATATATTTTGCCATTGGATTGTTATATGCTATTTGAGTATTTTTTTTAAACTTACAGTTCTATATTTAGTATTTTATTATTTTTTGTTGTCCTCACATCCTGTAATTTTTAAAATTACCATTTTCCGTCCCCGTCCCCGTATATGCTCCCGCACTCGTTGGATAGTAAATGCAGCAACACATCAAGGTCTAACATAAAGAAAGAAACAGTGTGCATATTTCTTCTTACTTTTACTAATCTTTTTACTTTTGACAAATCAACTCATCAAGCTTCTTACTTCACCATTCTCTCTGCTTATTATGGGAGTAAAACTGTTTACATCTTGACCCTCCAGACCTCAACGAAGTTTGACTTATATTGGGGTTGTTTCTCTTGTGTTTTGTTTATTAGGGGTCTGAAGCTTGCGCTGAATACATCTTGATATTTTGTTTTGCAGCTGGTCAGGAAAGATTTAGAACACTTACAAGTTCGTATTACAGAGGAGCACAAGGGATCATCATGGGTAATTCTTATTTACTTTGTTCTATGACGGTATCTTCTTAAAACATAAAATTGATCATTATTGCACCAATGCAACTTGATGTGCTAAATAAGTAAGTGCCGTTCAGCTGTATTTACTCTTCTTTGACTTCACAGTTTTCAAAGGTTCTTGGCTTCTTGCCCCAGTGATAGGATAGCATTTCCTTTCTCACACAATTACTTTCTTGCTTTCTTGTCTGAGCAGTTTATGATGTAACAAGGCGAGATACTTTTACCAATCTTAGTGAGATTTGGGCCAAAGAGATCGATCTTTACTCCACAAATCAAGATTGCATCAGAATGCTGGTTGGGAACAAAGTTGACAGGGTAAATTTTCCTGGCAAGTTTGCCCTTCGGCATATTCATTATTTTCAGCTGTGTTTCCTTTGAAAATAAATGTGGCTTGATGACAAAGTTTTGTAGTCTTGTTACATGGCAATAGAGTGAGGTGTGCTTCAGATAGGATAGGAAGTTTGTGATTAAACCATATGATATCCATAGTGCCACACTGGAGGTCACCATTTCTACTACTCCCTCCTTCCATGTTAAAACTTCTCGTTTTGACTTGACATAGTTTTAATGTGAAATGAATAAAGGTTTGACTTTCCAAATTTGCCCTTGTCCTAATCTTCTCTCCAGCCCCTTCTTCCTCGTCCCCACCCCAACACCTCACAATTTCATCAAAAACCAGAGATTTCTCCCTCTCCAGCTTCCTCCATCTAGAACTGGGAAAAATTCGAGCCTCCACCTCTGTCGTCTGAATACCTCAATCAGCTCTAGAAAAAACAGACTCAACCCCACATCAATTCAAGCCCTGATGACGATGAAAGTCATCGTTGAAGCAATATGATTTCTTCGACAAAGTATTAATGATGCAAATTTGCGGAAACATCATTCTTCATCCCCAGAATCTGCGTAAACTTCATGATCAAGACCCGATATAGACGGAAGTCATCTTTGAAGCACATGAGTTAATCGGGGATGGAAAAACTGAAATACCCCATAAAATTTAAAGTTAAGCCATAAAAAAATCAAAAATTATGTTTCAAATCTAAGAAATTGAAGAAATTTAGAATCAAATCTACTTTTCAAATTTAGAAAATTGAAGATATGAAAAATGAAATCTAGGTTTCAAATCTATGAAAATGAAAAAATTAAAAATGAAAGAAGGATTCAGATCTAAGAAATAGGAGAAAAAGGAAGAAGGAGAATGAGGAACGAGGAGGGGGGTAGGTGGACTGACAGTGACGAAGAGGAGGAAGAAGTAGGGGCGATCTGATGTAGGAGAATAAAAAAGAAAAATAGAGGAGATGGGGCAGAACTGGCGCAGGGTAGGAGTAGAAGAAAAATAGGGATGTGGGGTGTCTGAGTGAAGAACGAAGAGTTCAAAGAGGATGGAGGAGAGAGGGAAACAGTAAAATAAGAAAGGAGTAAAAGGGTAGCTTTAAGTGTATTTTATTTCCATTTTAGGAAACGGGAAGAGTCAAATGGGACGGTCCAAAAAGGATAGTGAGAAGAAAGATATGGGACGGAGGGAGTATTACATTTATGCAACATATTTACACACATAAGTTTTCATTATAATCTAATTAGATCAACCAAGTAAAGTTTTGGCTATACCAACAGTAAATCATTAGACATGTCAACATCACATTAATCCTGATCAAATTTGAAGGTTGTTGCTGCATTCCAAACTGTTCTTAATAATGTCGGTTTAAGTTCTTCGTCTTTTTTGTTTAATGCTTGCCAGATACTCTGTCTTTGTTTTTGGTAACAGCTTTATATAATTCTCCATTATTTTTTGGGGCTTTCATACATGAAATTTCTTGCATTCTATTTTTATTGGCCTTGGCCACTATACGCCATCCCATCAGGTAAGAGCATATCATAGTAAAGAAATCACACTTATACAAAAAAAAACAGGTCATCCATTATGACTGCATGAGATTGTTTTGATTGTTCCCCTTCACATGTGATAATGTAAAATCTCATATTTTTATTTATTTTTTAACTGTCACTGTTGTTTTATTTACTTTCTTTCAGGACAACGAAAGGGCTGTAACAAAAAAAGAAGGCATAGACTTTGCTAGGGATCGCGGGTGCCTCTTTATTGAATGCAGTGCTAAAACACGTGTGAATGTGCAGCAATGCTTTCAGGAGCTTCTCCTGAAGGTTCATAATCTTTGCCTTGATAACTTTTTTTCTTCGTTCAGAACGAACAACCTTTACTATTGGAATTTTCTCTCCCTACTTCATCCGTGAAAGTACTTCCGAACACTTGTCTTGTCACCCTGCAAGTGCGCCCACCGCCCCTACAAACTAAAATTTTCTTCCAACTGACTTGTCACATTTTGAATGTGCAGATTCTTGACACTCCAAGCCTTGTGGGTGAGGGCTCAAAGGCCATCAAAAAGAACATTTTCAAGGAGAAGCCACCACAGGCCAGTGATTATTCAACCAGCAGTTGTTGCTGATCTTTTTTTTCTTTTCCTTGTTTCTCCCAATCAACTTTCTTACAATATATTGATCATATTAATATATCTCTGAACTAGTTAATACTCACTAAACTATGCACAAAGTTCTGTATGTATTATCATATATTATATGGCCTGACATGTACAAGAATGTCACTAGTCAAAATCTGTTAATGGCAGTTTTGGCATTTATCTCTAATGGCAAATGCCGACCTTGTCACCGTATCAATCTTTGAGATGATTTAGATCTTGTTATCTTCAATTTATTCTTATTACTTATTATTTATTTTTATTAGAATTAGATCAGACCAGATTAGAAATAGTTTCAAATATAACAATTATAAATAGATTAGACCAATTGGGTCAGAATCTATCAGATCAGATGAAGAGAACCAGCTTTTAATTCCAGGAACACGAGTGTTATTACATTGCCTCCATTCTTTCTAGGCGTTGACGTATAATGCCTTTACCCCAACATAGTGTATGTACATCCTCAAAAAACCAGCAAACTACAATATTACACTACCCAAGTAATGAAAAGAAGAATAATATGCAAGAGATCTCTCGGACGAACTGAGGAGTCCTCTCTAATTCTTCCTGATCATATTCTCTCCGTCTAAAAAAGAATGTTTCAGTTCACAACTCGAAAATCACGACAAATTTTATTTATTTGTACGTTTTCATCGATTATTTGGTAAAATAAAATACTCATGTCATTTCTTGTTTTGAAGAACTTTTAACATAATAGTTTTTAAATGTATAAATTTTATTTTTTATTTCTATACCAGTCTTTGAGTAAAATGAATTGAAAAAACTTAGAATTTCGCTTCGTTTTGCGTTATGTGACAATTTTTTTGGGACAGAGGTAGTGTATAGGATCTTGGCCAGCACCTTCTCTCGATCATCAGCTCTTTATGTCCTAGCTCCAACATAGCGGCCGGCGGTAGACATGATTGGAATACATATGATTATAACATTCTTAATGCGGAGGTCGCTGAAATTCTTTACAGGACAAGACAGACTTCATTCGAGTTTTTTATTTACCAAAGGCCTTCTAATGTATTCTAGTGCATGTAAGTATAGTACACATTATCACCCGGTCTCCTTAATACTCACGTTGTTTGAGAACTTATATAAGAACGACTTAGGTATTTGACTAATTTATGTACATGTACCCTTTAAGAATTATTTCCTCTGTCCCAAATTGGTAATGCACATTTAGTTCGATGCATATTTTAAGAAAAGTAAAATTACGTAATTAGAAGTTATGCACATGAGAGAAGAAAAATTTGAACTACGATCACTTAAAAAAATAAATAATTTTGTACATATTGTTAATGTCCCAAAATTATCAATTCTGAAATGGACAATTTCTTTGTGAAATCAAGTGTGCAAGTGTAGTGCTAAGAGCAACTCCAAGAGGAATGCTAAATGCCATTTTTTTAGAGGTTTTGAAAAATTGGAGGGAAAAACTTGTATTGCATCTTCTTCTTCTTCAATTCATCAATTTGATCAATTCATAAATTATGTGCTGCCCGTAATTTTTCATCTTCCTTCTTCTAGCCCTCAATTTATAACTCTCCGCCTTTTATTTTTTGAGTTTATTGCATCACTTAAAAACTTTTCAAAAATGGTATAGATTCTCCATAAACACTAAAATTTGCATCAATGCTTCCTGAAGTTTTTAATAATATCGCACCAATGGTCCCTCTGTGTCAGATACGGGAGTGCGTTAATCACACGTTCATCCAATACAAGTAGGAATTCATCCAAAATCATATATCACATGTGAGTTATGCAATATGTCCTTTTCAAACACTATTTTTTGTTGGTGATTTTAGTGTCATCGATTTATTTTGTGTAATTGGATTTACTTTGATCAGACAAAAATTTAAATAGACGTTGTCAAACGAATTAGGAGGCGTGGAGTGCGCGCTCGTTCAACGATATTATAAATTTACTGCGGGTGTCCGGGGGCGGCAGCCCCTGGCGGGGTCCAAGGGGCAGAGTCCCTGGTCGAGGTCGAAAATGGAGTTGTTTCTTTATGAAAATCCATAAGATTTTCATGACCGGAGTCCAAAACGGTAAAGGACTCGTACACAGTTGATAACGTCAAAATAGAGCCTAAAAACCGCAGGAGACCTTTCGTTCAAGCTTGCGCTTTTCTTCTTCCTCGCGCGAACGTACACGTATGTCTACGTGAACGTTCATGTCCAATCACAAGGATTTTCGACTCTATAAAGTAGAGTCTCGTGGAATTACTAGAAATATATTCACCAATGTTAGTATTATTGTCATGAAAAGAATTAAGGCATTAAACTTTCAAAACAGATCAAAACGTAGCCAGGACAGAGGACTGTCACCGGGACGGTCGACCGTCGCTTCGGACGGTGGACCGTACCCTCAGCCATTCCGACGGTCGTCACCGTGACGGTCGACCTCCGGCCGCGACGGAAGACCAAGGTGGACCGTCTGTGACCCAGACCTCGGACCGTAGCCCACGGTCGACCGCCGATAGGGTACGGCGACCGTTTCCCGGGCAGTTTTTCGGGCAGTTTGTAGAACGAGTTGACCATCTTGATCCAGAATCTGATTGTATGTTTGCATGAAATATTAATCCTCATTATATATGTTATTTAATTGCTATATTCTTGGCTTGACCAAAGGTAAATATATCAAGCATTCATCATGTTCATCCTAGACGCATGTCCTAGGTTTTTCATCATGTGCATACCGCTGTAAGGAGGTCAGGCTTTCGTGCGCCTACTACAGTGGGCCCGTCCAGAAACCTTTGGGATCCAACGGGTTTTCATCAGGTGGGTTTTGTATACGTACATGGTAGTCAGGTTACGCCTACCACCCGGTTTTGCTAGTCCACTTGCGACGTTTACGTCGAGCCCGGCTCATTACCGTTCGGGTATGATAACCGAAGTGCAGGGGTGATCCTATCAAGTGAGACTAAGCCAGGGGTGTCCCTGATAGTTTAAGTCATGCATCAAGTCATATCATTTTGTGGTTACATATCATTTTGGACTGGACTTATTTATTTCCTTCCCCTTTACTCTGCATTTATATCACACACGTTTTGGGATTAACTCTCTAACATTTATTCCACTAATTAAACCCAACCGTTTTCATAATAAATAAGCACTAATGTTTTCCGCTACGGGCGGTACTCGGACCACCCATGTAACCCTACCGGTCCGTTGGGTCGCGGGTGAACCAGGTCCACGGAAGGCGGGTGTTACACCATAGGCCGCTCTTGACTCGTCATGTAACACCCCAATCCGTATAACCCGGAATTACACGAATTAAGGTGAAACGAGATTTAAATAAAAAATTCGCTTGACATTTGAAAATGACAACTGCTTATAAATATTAAATTTACAGACTCTGGATCGCGACCCATTTAAAAAAAAATATTTTCAGAGTAATGCGGAAGTACAAAAATAATCAAATCATGACACATTTAAAAAAATCTGATGATCAACATTTGCCTGCCATCCTTGCATCTCCTCTGACTCAATGCCTTCCGGGAGTGGTTCCATCATTGTCTTCTTGTTACCTACGTGTAGTCAACGAAAAATACAAACTACACGCTCAGCGAAACCGCTGAGTGGTACCACGCTAGAATTGTAGAACAATTCATAGACATATACATATACATATATATACGTCCACAAAATGTATAATAAT